TGTAGTAGTTTTGTAATGCTAAATCCGAATATGCCATAAAATTTATAGTTTGACAGTTGACGGCTGTCAAATCGACTGCGAATTTCTCTAAAATTAAAAAAATTTTAAAAAAAAAATTAAAAAATTTTGAAAATACAACTGAAAAGGTTTTTGNTGTTTTACTCGAAAAATTAGAAGGACTGTTACGATTGTAACAAAACTGTAGGATTGTAGTAGTTTTGTAATGCTAAATCCGAATATGCCATAAAATTTATAGTTTGACAGTTGACGGCTGTCAAATCGACTGCGAATTTCTCTAAAATTAAAAAAATTTAAAAAAAAAATTAAAAAATTTTGAAAATACCACTGAAAAGGTTTTTAGGCACGCTAGTCACGAAGTTTATGTCAAATCAAAACTTTGACAATTTACAGCTGTCAAACCAACTACGAATTCCTCCAAAATTAGGAAAATCTATTAGAAAATACCACTGAAAAGGTTTTTAGGCACAAATAAAGTTTTCAAGTGAGTAACACAATTTATTGGTTTAACAAAATTAATGATTTATTGTATTCGGGGAAGCATATTTACTTAATTATGATCCAATTATGAAATGATAATAGTAATTATTTTTATAAATGGGGGACACTTGGGACCATCTGCTATATGTTCAGCCCAAACAATTTGACCGGGCCCAAATATTTTTTTTTTAGATTTCTTTTAATTTATACTTAAACTTCGCAATTTAAAAAGTTTCAGTTTTCTCAAAATTGCAAAAAAATGTCAGGAAATTTCTAAAACTTATCTATATCTCGGATTCCATGTTGGATTTTGCATTTTATATTTGCAAAAACTAGTTCGAAATTTGAACCTCAAAATACCAAATTTCATAAAAATTCAGTATTTTTTATAATTCGTGGGCGTCACATTAGATTCGTTATTTTGGATTTTTGAAAATTGACCTCCTGTTGGGCATATACACACACATGAGTAGAAGTACCAACAAACTTCGCGAAAAATGCCAAGAGTGTATGAATTAAAAGTGGGCAGGGTAGTGCAAGTTGGAAGCTAAAGGTTTCTCATACGTATTTTATAGTAAATAAGCGATATATATATCTACATATCTACTTTTGAAATTAAAATTAACACATGCAGTATTGAAGTAAAAATCAATATAGTTACATGTAATATCAATACATACATACATACATACGTATGTAGTATGTACGTAAGTAATTTTATTTATGAGCTCCACACTATCCAATTCTTAATATTTACTATTTTATTTTATGACTTATTAAAGAAAATCATTGCCAAGGTAAATTAAGGCGAAGTCATGCTTGGCTGCTGCAGATCAATGACGAGCGATTTGCCTGCAGCGAAAACATTTAATGCTGAATTAACTAAATGGTGTTGAGATATGATTAGTTTTGTGTATTTTAATATCCATACATACATATATACATATATGTATGTAGCTATATGTACTAGCGTATGGACATACATACATACATACATACGCACATATGTACATATGAAGATATTAATTTATTTAAAACTGGGTCATATTCGTGAACGCCATGATTTTGTATCTATGTACTTATGTATGAACGTATATATATACATACATATGTATGTATAAATCTGATACTTTTGTAATTATTACCTATATAACATCTTTGTCAGGGCGCTTTGTTTAACTATGGGTCTATAATTGCAATTATCATTGCTGTCGCCAGACTTAAATATAGGATTTATTGAGCATAATTTCCACGAATCTAAAAAAGTAATGCAGTTCAGACCAGTGGCGGATACAGGGGAGGGGCGATAGGGCATTCTTCAATCAAATTCTGAGATAGGGCGGTTTCAAACTGGCTCCTGAGATATGTCGAATGGAGCTTTCTGGTACTATTTTTATCCATTTCCGCGGTGAACGTAAAAAATTTCACTTTCAACTGTGTAACCAGAAATTTTTATGCCTATTGGAAAAATTTTTAATGACTCGAAAAATATATAATAAAAATTAAAAGCATTTCCATAACCATTCAGTACTGTTCTTAACGGTTAAAATAAAAAAATAAGTCCCGGCTTAATCAGAATTACCCCGATGTACGACGTGATTAAAGGGATGAACTATAGCAGAATGCCCACTTAATAATATTAAATTAAATTGGGAATATATTACGCTATACGAAAATATAGTGCTTTCTAACGCGATAAGAATTTGTTTAAAAAAAGTCGCTATCAATTTGGAAGGAGAGTTTAAAGTGTGGCCAGATCAATGGACAAATAAGGTAAGCGAAAGGCCATTCCCAAAATTAGCAGCAGAAGTGCTTAGTAAATGCGACGAATATGGTTTTCCGTTGATTAACTAATTTCTCCACATTCTGACCACGCTTCCAGCTAGTAACGCTATTTCAGAAAGAAGTTTTTCAACCATTCGTCTCTTAAAAACATGGTTGCGTAGTACTATGAATGAAGAAAGACTGATAGGTCCAGTACCTTTACACGTACACTTAGATATTAAAATTGACACTGAAAGGATAATAGAGAGACTCGCAAAAGGAAAACGCAAACTTGAGTTTGCAATTTAAAGTATTATAATCAAAATTGTCCTTAAAAAAGTTGTTAAGTTACCTAATTACATCCTTTATTTGACAAACACTGTAAGCAAGAAATAGGTAAATATATATTACTTTAATAAACCCAAAGTATAACTTTTTATATAGAGTTTTTTTTACAAAATAATATTACTGTTTTATTACAGGGGACACCGTAATTGGCACAGGCACCAAATTCACAAAATGCAAATTCCTAAAAGAAAAATGATTTCTTCACACTCCCTAAATATTAATCGAACCTCTATTTGCATGGAAAATAAATGAGGGTTCGAGCAGTTGGGATGCTTTTAGGTCATAGAGCTCAAACTTTGATTGGTCACCCCCTGGTGAATCAATTTAGAAGCCTGTAGTTTAACGTTCTTTGACAATTTGATCCCAATCGCCCTTTGACGGCACAATTCCTTTCCAGGTCTTTCAGCTTTAGTTCGAAAAGACAGATACAGCAAATTATTGGAACATGGAGGATAAATCCGCTGAGCTGTTCGTTGCATTAAAAGTACCTGCAGCGGAAATCTTGCAAACTATTCCTGACTGTGAAAGGAACAGTTACGAAGCGTTAATGGGTGCAGTGGAAAGGCGTTATTGTAGCGAGCACAGGAGACAGATGTACCAGATGAAGTTGAAGAATCGCTGCCAAAAAGCCAACGGGACTCTACGGGAATTCGCCTTAGAGATCGAGAGGTTGGTGAGCACCTCGAAAGGGTAAAAATCCAAAGGTTCATCAACGGAATGCGAGACATACAAAGCGAGAGACGTATGCAAATCCAAAGCCAACATTTGCTGAAACCATCTCGTATGCTCAGTCACGTGAAACGGCAATACTCCTAAATAGACAAAACCCGAGTGCAAGTGGAGACAGCGCAAGTTCCTTTGGGCTCAGTAATTCTGCAGGACGAAAACGCAGAGCTGAAGGAGACAAACCCAACTCCAATCAGTCGTTAAACTAAAACGAGCCAGCAGAAAGGGGCGCGCGCTGATTCCCGCAATTGAATGCCCCATAATCTCCGTCTCGCGAATTGGCAGAAAAGCGAGCAACGTTACTGTTGGTGGATATGTGCACGGACATGAGCGAGCACCAACGGATACGGGCGCATCACTTTAGATCATTCGATTTGATTTGGTCAGTCGGAAGGGTTGGAAGGAAAATACCAACACAATTCTAGGAAACTTCTCCGCAGATACTCCAACATATTCAACAAGGATAGCAACAAACCCACGTTGTGAAACTGGCGATGCAAGGCCAATCCGTCAAGCTCCTCGAAGTGTTCCACTTGCCAAACGTGGCGCTGTAAGCCTGATTATAAAAGAAATGAGCGAGAGCGGTGTGATTGAACTATCAGAGAGTCCATGCAGTTCGCCGGTAGTACTTGTGAAAAAGAAGGATGGTCAAAAGCGGTTCTGCGTAGACTACAGGAAACTAAATGATGTGACGAAGGAGGACAGCTATCCATTTCCCAGGATCGAAGATATTCTAGACTCGTTGACTGGAACAAAGTTGTTCTCAAAACTCTACCTTAACACCGGTTATTGGCAAGTGGAGGTATATGACGAGGACAAGGAGAAGACAGCTTTCAGAGTTGGAGATGGTCTTTGGCAATTCACGGTGATTTCTTTTGGATTATGCAACGCTCCTGTACCTATAGAGCTACACTCTGACCAGGGAAGAAATTTTGAATCGGAGGTGTTCCAAGAGTCGTGCCATATACTGGGTATCCGAAAAACTCGAACAACGGCTCTTTATCCCCAATTAGATGGCATGGTGGAACGGTTCAACACCGAACCCTGGGAGAGCATTTGCGGAAGGTCGTTGACAAGAATCAGAAAGATTGGGATGCCCGCATACCCTTGTTCCTGATGGGATACCGGTCAGCAATGCATGGAACCACGAGTAAAACTCCTGCCAAGGTAATCTTTGGCAGTGAACTTCGTTTGCATAGTGACCATTCCGTTTGCCTAGTGGAACATTTCTTCAAATTTAATAAGTAAAAATTTCACTACTAAAAATTTAAAAATGTTCCTAATATTTGCAAAGAAAATTGGAAAAGAAATATCACTGTATTTGTTTTTAGAAGTAAGGAGGGAGTGTCATTGATAAAATTAGGGTGAGAGAAAGTTTTTCCTACAAAACCTTTCATTATTGAATCATGGTTTCTTTTTTCTACCATGACATCATTGTATCATGTTAAGAATGTGCCCGTGGGAATGGGGTGAATGGCGATCGTTATTGGGGAACCGAACAAATTAATTCAGGATGACGTGGAAAAATGGGTTAATAGTGCCGTTTATTCTTTAATACTGATCAATTATGCATCGATTATTGTGTTAAAAGAAAATCCCTTTTGTATTTATAATGTCCTTTTTTATAATTTTTGCTGCAAAATGTCACTCAAATATGGAAATTACTCACAATCTGGTATCACTGATTGACCATATGTTGATTTATCCAGCTGACATTTCAGAACTTTGAAATTTTGCTTCACAGTTTATGGAATATATCAAAATTTTTGCACATAAAAACGCCAATTGAAGAACAATTTTATTACAAAACAAAACATCTTCAATCAATTACAACTTATTTGTAAAACCAAGAAAACAACAAAAATGCAACATTGCTATAATCGTGGCTGCGGACAAACGTTTGACCCAGAAAAAAATTCAGACGGTGAATATTTTTAGCAGGAACATTCTGGAAAGGAAGAAAATATATGAGTTTTTTTTTGTATGCAACATTCTCACAGAATCCTGTCGTCATCATCCCGGAGCTCCTTACTTCCATGACGCCTACAAAGGTTGGTCATGCTGCAATAAAAAATCTGTAGATTTTACAGAATTTTTGAGCATCAAAGGCTGCACGCTCTCAAAGCATTCGAATATCAAACCGCCTGAGCCGGAGAAACCCGAAAGGAACGATGATGACAAAAATGAAGTTATAGAAGTGCGATCGCCTATTAAGGAGTCAATGGATCGACCACCCATTGAAACTCCAATGATTGTTGTACAACCAACTGTCGCTCAAGCATTAAGAGATGCCATAGATACACTGAAAGTGAAAGTTGGCGTTGCTAGCGAAGCCACCACGGACTCTGGGTATAAAATAATTGAAACCTTGCACATTGCACATTTTTAATTGTTTCCTTCTTTAGCGCCATCCCCATAGGTACTTCTTGTAAAAATAAAGGCTGCACATGCTCGTTTACTGGAACTGCGGCTGATCATGGCGAGTGCGTTTATCATCCTGGTGTTCCTATTTTCCACGAAGGAATGAAATATTGGTCGTGCTGTCAACGCAAAACAAGTGATTTTGCTGCATTTATAGCGCAAATAGGCTGTGCATCCGGTGAACATAAATGGTTCAAAGAGGTAATTACGCAACTTGGAGCTGGCATAAACTTAGTACACAACTTTTTTCCCTTTATTTACTTCAGGATGACGACAAGCAAGTAGTAAATTGTCGCTACGATTGGCATCAAACTCCTACCCATGTAATTGTATCCATTTATGCCAAAAAGTATCATTACAGGCTTAGTAAAGTCGAAGTGAATCCAATACGATTACATGTGAACCTTGTATTTCCTGAACAGGAAGACGCACAGTTCGATTTGGAACTGGAATTGCGTGGGGTAAGTGTATTATGTTGTGTTGTGTATTCTCTCTAACATGAACAAATTTCAGATAATTGATGTCAGTAAAACTACAGCCCATATGTATGGCACCAAGGTGGAGATTACTATGCCAAAAGCGGAACCTGGTTCATGGCCGAAATTGGATTTCCCACGCGAAAAATTGCCACCTGTGCTAAAGCCAAATGAAAATAAAATCATTGCTTCCAATCAAAGAAAGAGCTCCGAATCTGACGATGGTTTCAATTTGGATGATATTGAAACGGTGAATACTGGCATCAGACTCACGGATATAAGTGATAACAAAAACCATTTGGACTAGAAATATTTCGATTCATCTTGACTCCTGGAACATATTCTTTAAAGTTATTTTTGCCAAAAAACTTCCGCTAAATATGTAGGCATTTACATGTATTCGAGTTTATTGAATGTTGATTTTTCATTTACATACCTATTCAGAAACCGCATTAAACCGTTTAATAGATGAGTAAGCCAATGTATTAAATTGTATTTTATTTTCTTCGAAATATGACCATAAGGTACCTTTAACAATTATATTTAATCATCATCGGCGCCGGGCACCCAGTCTTCATCATCTGAGTCGTCATCGTCACCCAACTCCAAATCGCCGATATCCTGAAATAGGGTTTCGTCGATTTTGACATTTTCAATTGATTCGCCAGCTTCAAGCAAGAATTTAATATCGGACTCGTTGAGTGTAGTGTCACGCATGAACAATTCCCTGCCGGTCAATTTTTTGCTGTCACTGTTCTTTTCCCGTTTCGCTGCTATACCTGTGCTTTCCTCAAACTCTGTCCTCCATTTGAGGAATGACTCGACAGTAACGCGTGTACCTTCGAATTTCTTTCGCTCAGCCTCTTCCGATTCATAAAGTTTGCGAGCGCGTTCCTCTTCCTCATGCAATTTGTAATCGTCCCAACGTTCATTCAACCACTCTTGCGCGCTACTCACTAGTGAAAATATCATTTCCATTCCAATATTTTCATCAATAATATTTTTTAGGTGCTCCAATAATTTCGTTTCGTAAAGTTCTTCCATATTTACAGGGTCTTCTATAGACACATCGGGCGCCTGATCCGGGTAAGAGGGCGTATATGTAAATACCAATTTGCAAGCCATTCCACTCGATTCTTCTTCAGCGTTATACTGCTCTGTGCCAATGGTGATGCTGAATTTGTGAAAAGGATCCGTCTCTAGCACTGTCCAAAACAAAAACAAAATTAGTATTGCAAAACCTTATTGAAATTTAATCAATAGACCTTCCATTTCACTGTAATATATAGACTCCAGCGCTTCAATTTCATTTGATTGATCTTCCTTATGATTTCTGCTCATTTTTGCTAATTTTAAGGAGCACTCTACTGAATGAATCGGACAAGTTATTTTACAAACAAAATTGGAAATAAGTGCATTGACGTTGCAGCTGTTTATTTTAAGGTTAGTTTACATCACATTGCCTTGCCATATTTTCCAAAGTTGTGCTGATTCTTCACGAGCTAAAGCCCTGTTGATGAGCAAATTTTATATTGGGTTCTTAATTTTTTAAAATGTTTAATTACATAAGTTTTGGTACATTGCTTGAAATTATTACCGGGAAGGTTATAAAATTAAAAAAGGAAATTAACTTTTATGGAATTAGCCATACTCAGATATGGCAATACCTCGAAAATTACGCACTTTCTTTACCCTTATTTGACATTTCCAGTTGTCACTATTTGTCAACTTTGAGGTTACGATTTTCGGTTGGAATTGTTGGCTGCTAGAAGATTTCGATAGCCCCGTGAAGAGGTAATTTTTCTATAAATTAATATTTAAATACAGAATTTCAGAATTTCCTTTGTAACAAAACTCCACAAATGCGATGCGATTTAAAGACAAATGTAAGCATTCAAATCCGTTTCCGTTGCAGATTTTTGGTGGTTGAACGCAAATTACATAACGCAGTACTAACTCATCACAATGTCCCAAGCTCCAGTACGTGTATCGCCATTGATTAAATTCGGCCGGTGGTCTTTACTACTTGTAGGCGTAGGCTATGGTGCTTTCCATCAAAACAGATTATCAAAGAAGGAAGCAAAGGTGCGCGAAATCGAAGCACAACAAAAGGAGGTGCGCGATGCTAAATTGGCCGAAGAGAAGAAACGTGCGGCTGATGCGGAAGCTCGTGCTCTGGCGGAACTCTCCAAGCCAACTCCAAAGAAATAAACCATTTCCACCCGAAGGATTTACAGTATAGATTATGCTCACCACAATCGAAATGATGCGAAGTTAATAAACAAAATATGTAATGACATCAATTGATTGTGCATGCCAATTTTTGGAAATCGTGACATTGAAGGCTTATATTTCGCAGTATTGCGAACGGTGTTTATTAATTCTTATTTAAAACAGACGGATTTTTGAAATATATGTATGGTGTATGTGATGGATTTAAAGAAATCGTCGGTGAACTATTTGTGAAAGGTACTTCGTTTATCATCCCAGGAATATCTAGATTTAGCTACGTAACACCATTGTACACTCAAATAAGAATCCATTTAATATTTTAGAGTTCTGTAGAAATTTTGCTTGGTAGATGAGCGTACAAAATATGTCACCATTTTAATGAGGTTTTAAAATTTAATAATGGGATGATTTAGGACTTTGTTATTGCTATAAAAAAATATAGAAAAAAGTTTTTTTCTTAACAGCGGTCGTCCCTCGGCAGGCAATGGCAAACCTCCGAGTGTTATCTGCCATGAAAAACAGCTTCTCATAAAAATACAATCGCCGTTCGGAGTCGGCGTAAAACTGTAGGTCCCTCCGCTTTGTGTGACAACATCAAGGCGCACGCCACAATTCGGAGGAGAAGCTCGGCCAAACACTAACATTTGTGTAAGCGCCAATCTATTATTATTGCTATAGCCACAACTGCGGATAAGTACTGTTTAAATGAAACTAGGAGACGGCGTATGATAGTCTAACTTGCTATCGTGGTCTAAAAACAGCAATTTCAGTATATTTTAATTAAATATTTAGTCATCCGTTATTGAGAGAGTTCATTTTTCTTTACTTTTGTGTTGCGTTAGTTACATCAAATATCTCAATTGCAGTTATGCAGTTTTATTAATTAAGAGAATGCTCTAATCAGAAAACCCGCAACTACTTGTCAAATTCGTTTCCAATAAGATATCCACAGCTGATTGCAATCATGCAGTCAAGTTCCAGCTTAGTATTGCCACATCTTTTCGAAATGTAGGAATAAATAATTATGCAAATACATTTAAAAACTAGTCTGGCAGCGTTCTGATACTCAACAACCTGCTGGTTGAAATCCCGCGAAATTGCAGTTTTGAGTGAAAATTGTTGGATCAATAAAACTGTAAAGTATATTTCGCCTAATTTATTTGGAGAAAAATTAATTAATACATGTAGCATGGCGAACTGCTCGCTTTTTGGTGGTTTTAATGCAGTAGGAGGTACCAAAAAAAGCAACAACCAAGTTAAGCAGCCTGTGCAGTATGCAACGCCAGGGCCCTTCACCAAGTCAAAACTTTTTCAGGATTGTCCGGAAGCGGATATACGTGTGCTCAAGGAAGCAGCTGCCAAAGTCGTTGCCCAACCTGGTAAGCTATTTACCATGTACATAACACTTCTCAAATTTGATTTGTCAATTACATAATTTCGCTGTAGCATCGGTTTTACTGCACTCGCCCTTATCGACAAAATGGTCGCATTTAACTACAGGCTGTTCCGCTTTGGATAACTGTTTACGAGGCGGTATCGTAACGCGTGGTATAACAGAAATTTGCGGGGCTTCGGGTGTTGGAAAAACACAATTGCTTCTGCAATTATCTTTGACGGTACAACTACCTATACACCTTGGCGGTTTGGGCAAAGCAGTTGCCTTCGTTTGCACTGAAGACGCATTTCCTTCAAAGCGTCTGTTTCAATTGGCCAAAGTATTTGAAAAGCGTTTTCCCGAAAACCAAACCAACTATATGGGAAATATTTTCATAGAACATGTACTAGAAGCGGTAAGAGCAGTGGATAACTAAATGCTTTTATACCTGTTTCAATTCTCTCTTTCTCTCGATGCCATNTTGTCCGGAAGCGGATATACGTGTGCTCAAGGAAGCAGCTGCCAAAGTCGTTGCCCAACCTGGTAAGCTATTTACCATGTACATAACACTTCTCAAATTTGATTTGTCAATTACATAATTTCGCTGTAGCATCGGTTTTACTGCACTCGCCCTTATCGACAAAATGGTCGCATTTAACTACAGGCTGTTCCGCTTTGGATAACTGTTTACGAGGCGGTATCGTAACGCGTGGTATAACAGAAATTTGCGGGGCTTCGGGTGTTGGAAAAACACAATTGCTTCTGCAATTATCTTTGACGGTACAACTACCTATACACCTTGGCGGTTTGGGCAAAGCAGTTGCCTTCGTTTGCACTGAAGACGCATTTCCTTCAAAGCGTCTGTTTCAATTGGCCAAAGTATTTGAAAAGCGTTTTCCCGAAAACCAAACCAACTATATGGGAAATATTTTCATAGAACATGTACTAGAAGCGGTAAGAGCAGTGGATATCTAAATGCTTTTATACCTTTTTCAATTCTCTCTTTCACTCGATGCCACAGGATGACCTATTGCAGTGTGTGGGCGCGCGATTGGCAAATTTAATGGAATCAGTAAGCATTGGCCTTATTATAATAGACTCAGTGGCAGCAATTTTTCGCACTTACAACAACTACATTAAACGTGCGCGTGACATGCGCAACCTAGCCAACCACCTGCTGCACTACGCTGATAAATATAATTGTGCGGTGGTTTGTGTGAATCAAGTATGTACATACCTAATTAATATGTATGCTGATCAAATAATTATTGTCAATTACTTTGAATTTGTAATCAAATCTTTAGGTCGCCACTGCGAGTGATGCCGCAAAAGAAACACCATGCTTGGGTTTAGCTTGGGCTCATTTAGGGCGAACACGCATAAAACTATCCAAAGTGCCGAAAGAAGTAAAAATCAATGATGATTTATTTACAATACGCCGGTTCGAAATTGTATACTCGCCAGATACACCAAATGAAGTGGCTGAGTTTTTAATAACTGCCGGTGGCGTGGTCGATGTTCCTGTATAGTCAAAGTACAATCATCCAAATGCGCTTGTAAGTAAGACTTAAAATTTGTATTTAATTAATATATTTATTTGCCCTTTCGCTTATGTAATTTTGTTATTCGCATAGTTATTGTTAAGCTTATAATGCTCATGTTTTGTACATTCAATAAATAGTTAAAGTTTGAATAATGTAATTTAATACATTCAATATTTGTAAACACGTACAATTGCACACACAACTGTGTGTGTTACAAACTATTTTTTATTTTATTTTTATCCAATAAATTGAAAATGAACTCCCACGTAAGCAAAGTTCGGCTTGGGTAAGAATTGTGTTGTTGCTGCTGCCTGTAGGTTCATAAATACGTACATGCAAATTGCCATACACACATATCACACCCTAAATCAAAAACAGGCACATAAAGAAGGTGGTGAAGAAGAAATTATAGCAGGCTTAGATGTATGGTCTGTGAATTGTTTAATGCATATAAGTCAAGTTTGAAAAATTTTCATTTGTGACTGTTTTTGATTAAGGGTGCGATATGCTCCTGCAGCTTTTTCGTATACATTAAATTTTTTTGTATTCCTAATTCTTTTACATATTTTCATTTATCACATTACACCAAAGTTAACATCGATTTCTTTTACTTTAATTTTCCCTCTTCAATATCTTCAATAGTATGTACTTGCATTTCTATAGTGTTCATATTCGAATTTCGTGTGTATAGTTTAGTTAGATATTATATTTACAATTACATAATAATTAAGATAAATTTGTATGTTTTACTTTTTTAAGCGCATTTATGGCAACACTTAAGCAACAATTGAGCGTTCCTTAACACTTACCTAAGTTGATTAACTGCAGCGAAATGGGAAAATGATATACTATGTACAAGTATGTGTGTACATGTTTACACATCTACTTTACAATAAGCAAAAATATTAGCAAAACTATATATTTAAGTTTAATTCGATTGTTCAATGTTTGTTTATCTTAACTCTTACACATCTATGTATGTATGTAATACATACTATGTATGCACATCCGTGTACGTACAACATTATTCAGTTTAACTTAAGGTACTAATCTATCCATTCATTAATTGAGCTTCTTTCCTGCGCCCACAGTTTGTTCTGTAAGCCAGTTACATACATACACATTTACTTAAATTCAAGAAAAAGTATATTTTGTTCATTTTTGTGTTCTATTTAATTTTTGGCACAGTTCAATTTGACTGGAAGTTCGCTTCACAAAATCTTCCTTTTTAATTTTCAACATCGCGCATCTCTGCATCCTTGTCCTCCTCATGCTCTTCGTAATCATGTTCATCGATAATTGGCGACTTTACATCTGTTTCCTGCTCCATCACCATCTCTTCTTTTGCCATATCTGCCCCACTTTCTTTCTCCACCTTTAGCTGGTTTTCTTCGCTTGTCTTTGCTGCTGTACTCGTTGCTTTTTGCAACTCTTTCTCGAGGCTACTACCATTTCGTCTTCCAGCTGCATCCGTTCTATCCACATTCAATTTGGCACTGAGTAGCGCATTCGATATTTTCGAGGCGGCCAATTTGCTTTCGAAATCCATGTCGCTAAAGTGCAGTGGACTATGATTGCTGGCAGCGCGCAACAGGCTTAATTGCAGTTCCCGATGCTGCGGCGATTCCTCTAATTTGATTTCGAGTTTCTCTGTCTGCTCCAACGGTGCGGCAGGCTCAACAGTCAGCGGGATGGCGTGTTGTCGATGAAGAGCATGCGAATGCGAGTGATGGCCAACACGATGGTGGTGGTGGGGGTGATGGTTGTGCTGTTGTTGTTGTTGGTGATTATGCGGATGTTGTTGTGCATTCTCTACGTTTTTGTTGCTCGACTTCCCACTGGTACCTGCAGTTTTCGGTGTTGTTACGCTGTCGCCTCCTCCACCGTTGACCAGTGCTGCGCTGTTGCTGTTGACACTCGCTGCCGTTGAATTTTTTGCGGTTTTCTCCAGTAGCGCATTTAGTTGTTTTTTGATTTTGGTCGCTTGTTTTGCAGTCAATTTGGCGCTTAATTCGGTCGTGGCTGTGGTGCGATGCTTTTCATTGCTGCCTCCAATGTTTGAGGCGCTGTTATTTGTATTGTTGTTGTGGTGGTGCTGCGATTTTTTTCCAAACGTTTCCATTGCTGTTGTTGCAGCAGTAGCACTGGAACTCGTTGATGCGGTGCTGCTCTGGGTTTTACCGTTGTTTTCAGGTGCATTTTTTGAAGGGTTTGTGGTCTTGTGTTCGCCGACCTCGGAATTGGAAATGTTATCCTGTTTCTTCCACTTTGTTCTACGATTTTGGAACCAGATTTTCACCTAAAGGAAATAGAAAGAAAGAAAATTAGGATTAGCTAAACATATACATATGTATGTTTTGGTATATACTAGATTTGACCCAACTAGGACAATGGATTAAAATAGGATAATTTAGCAATTTATATAATCTGAGTCTGCATAATACTTAAATGGCATGTGATCAACGAATTCTTTCAGTTTCAAGCGTTTTCATTGATCTCAGAAAATTATATTGACCGCAAAAGGAAATAACTCATTTTCTTACGTGTAATTCCTATGGGAAAACTAAAAGCTCGACGCGGGACCTCTTACGATTCTCATAGAGAGGTGAGATTCATGGAGGATCATTACTATACCACACGCTAAGATTTGAGTCTTGTCCATGTCGCATTGCAGGATTGTTTTTTTTTGTTGATGTGGTCTAATGTACATATATAGTTTATGTACATATTTAATAATGTTTAGAATATAGAAAATACAAGTTTTGACTATAAGTAGCTATTCTTTCCTTATTGCGACCAAAACAGTTAAAGCTTTCGATAATAGTGACAGTCTCGATGAAAATATATACCGCAGGATAAGCTTTTTAAAGCTTTCTAAATATTTTATACGGACGCTCAGGGTGAAAGCTTTCTGTGGTCGTCATTGTTCTATATCAGTAGCGACTGAAGCTCGGAACACTTTGACGACTGCAACTTCACGACGTACCGACAGCGACATCATTTTGTCGACAAATGTCGCCTTGAAGCCAGCTTCTTAAACATTTTGAAGACCTCAGCGACATAGCAAACAGCTGATTTTAAAGTTTGACATTTTGGTATATTTATTTCACAAATTGTGTATTTTTATTTAAGTAAATAAGAAAAACATGAACAATGAAGAATATGTGATTAATTTTGCGACAATTTAATTTTGCAGCACTACATCTACTCATTGTCGCCGGCAAAATTAGAAATAGATTTAATTTGGCGACGTCGACAATTGCAGTCCTGCAGCCAAGATGTCGTGCTGTCGTCAAAATAATTGTGTCCGTAAGAACGTGTGTATTTAAAATTTGACAGATGCTGCTTGTCGCTTGCTGTTGTCAAAGTGTTCCGAGCTTGAAACGTATTTTGTGAGAGAAGCTTTTTGAAAGATTTTTGAAGACTATGAACTCGCGGAGATCGTCACTGACCTATACAGTAAGCATTAGTAAATCCGCCTAAGGAAGGCCTGATTCCTGGAAGTCCGAGTTATTTCAGACAAGTTCTCTTACAATAAAATCGGAAGTTTTTACACATTTTAACAAGAAGTATTTAAATATATATGTACATAAATACAAATATACTTTGAAATACTTAACACCTCTAGCCATACATATTTCATGCCTAGGTATTTTCATAACCCAAATATTTTACAAATGTGCGAACATTTTTTCATATGAAAAACAAGTAACTAAGCAAAAAAGCACAATAAATTATAAAAAGTCTTCTTCAGCGCCTGCCAAATATCTGAATAAGTAGCTTGTAAAACAGCAGTGTAAAGTAAAAAAGTATAAATAAACAAAGAATGAATGATGAACCACGAAGCTAAATTCAAAATTGTATGAGATGTTATACCTGAAAGTGATGAGCATTTCCTGTTGACACACGAACATACAGCATTGATACATGTGTGTATGAATGTGTTAGGAAATAAAATCTGTCAAGAAAAACATTCGTGTGGAAAATTATGGGCGAGAAAATAAAAGAAATAAAAAGAAAAAAATTAAGAACTGCGCAGAAATGAAAAATTCAAGTAAAGTGCTGCAATTAAATGAAAACCAATGTGACGTGAGATGAGAGGGTCTAAACATGTAAATCTCAATCTCAAATACTCGTCGGCCTGAAGAATGTCAAAAATCAATATGGGCTTCTTGAAGTGCACAGAAAACCCTAAGAAACGTAGTTGGCAATATAATCGGCCGATTCTTAATTACACCGCGCCTGTTTGATCAGCGGAGAATAGGAGGACGCAGTCGGCGAAGCTTTCGACTTGTCAGAACACCGCACTCCGCAAGGCAGAGGCAACGAGATGCCTAAATTTCTGCTCGATTGATACCGTACGAAGCATCCGAACATATACACACTTGTTGGAAGAAGAGTCACCCGCAAGGCACGTCTGCAGGCATCTCTAAATCGTACAACGTGCAGGCAGACCTACATCGTACAACTGCTAGACACGACATTTCCGCCAAGCTATTAACGACAATCAACGAGAAACAATCAAAAGATATCCGTTAAAAGCGCAAGCCTTAATATTAAGTTTAAAAGGTCGCGCGTTGCGGATTTCTATTTTCCATACAAATAACTTAGAAACAAATTAGATGTTCTACAAAAAAGTCTCTCATATTTTTTTGATAAACCTACTGGTTTAACAACAATTCAAACTTAAAGTTGTTAAATTTACTTTTTGGTTGTTGTTGTTTATGTCATTATTACAACTTTTTCTCCTATTTTAGGTAAAATAATTCAAGTTATTTTCAACTATCAAAAAAAAAAAATCATTTAAAAATTGAAATTGTAAAGTTTGCAAATTAATTTTAGTAAAAAAAACCCTATTTCGAGGAAATATTAATTAAAATCCTTGAGTTATGTTTGGAAGTTTTTTTTTATACTTTTTTCACTATTTAATGATAATTTGAATTATTTTACCTAAAATAGGAGAAGAAACTGTAATAATGACATACATTTAATTTTAAGATCG